AGTATTTCTTTCCGGTGGTGTCCTTAAAATTTATTTATTTCTTCATTTTAAATTTTTTTTTTTACTTTTCCACTGGAACTCTATTTTTTTTGCCCTAAAATTTATTTATTTATTCATTTTAGTCATTTTTTTACCTTTGTTATTTTAGTCATGAAATGTTATTCTTTCTTGTTATGGTTTCTTTTACCCTAAAACTTATTTATTCTTCGTTTTAATTCATTTTTTACCCTTATTTTTATTTTTTTCCTGAAACTTTATCTTTTTTTCGTGTACATCTATTTTGTCCTAAAATTTATTTATTTCTTCTTTTTAGTCATTTTCTAACTTTTTTTTTATTTTTGCCTGAAATTTTATTGTTTTTTTTTTTCCATTTTGGTTCCTTTTACCCTAAAACTTATTTACTTCCATCACTTTAGTCCTTTTTTGATACATTTTTTAAAATTTTTATCTTGAAATTTTATTTTTTTTATTTTGGTCCTTTTTACCCTAAAACTCATTTATTTCTACATTTTAGTCCACTTTTTTGCATTTTGGTTTCTTTTTGAGATTTTATACTGACATCTTTTATACTTTTACTAATAACACATTAAGTAAAATTTAACACATGAATTACTCCCACGTGCTATGCACGTGGAGTTCAACTAGTAAATATACGGGGACTAATGGAGCTACCAAGCGTACTCAAGGCTGGCCTCTTATATTATTTTTAGAATTCTCTTAAATTGGTTGGAGAATTCTCTTCAAACTATTAAAACTGTTATTGTACAACATATTTTAATTATTTCATGATAGCAGGCTCTTTATCTATACAATACTTAAAAGTCAATGACGCTCTCGTGGTTTTGTCCGCATTAGGGAGGGACGAAACGTTTTGTCCCTAAGTGGATTGGGAGAGAAACGTTTCGTCCCTTTTTTCCGCTCTTCTTCTTTGTTTTTGGGTCCCCTTCTTCCTTTATTTCCTCCTTTAATCCCTAATTTTTGTTTTTCCTCTCACCTTTACATGATCTTATTACCATTTTAGTCCCTATATTTTATCTCATTTAATCTTATTATCATTTTAGTCCCTTTTACACCTTTTTTGACTTTTTTTTTGCTTCTCTTTCATATTTTTTTTGTCCCTCTTCTTTATTACTTACTTTTTTAGTCCGTTATTTTTATTTTTCCTCTTATCCTTACATAATCTTATCATTTTAGTCTCTCATTTTATTTTTTTCTATGTTTCTCTTCCTTTTATTTATTTTTGGGTCCCCCCTCCTTTTTTGTTTGCCTCTTTAGTCCCTTATTTTTATTTCTCCCTCACCTTTATTTAATATTATCATTTTAGTCCCTCATTTATTATATATATATATTTTTTTTTTTTTTTTTTTTTTGCTTTTCTTCCTTTTGTTTTTTAAGGTCCACTTTCCTTTTTCTTTCTCCTTCTTCGGTCCCTCATTTTTATTTTTCCTCTCATTTTAATCTTATCATTTTTGACAACTATACATTTTCTTTTTTAACATTTTTCGCTTTTCTTTCTTTTGTTTTTTTGGATCCTCCTCACATTTTTTATTTGCTTCTTTAGCCCCTTATTTTTGTTTTTTCTCTTACCCTCATTTAATCTTATCATTTTTTCCCGTTATACATTCTTGCTTATTTCCTTATTTGTATTTTTTTAAAAATATCTCTATAGTGTAGTCCTTTTTCGATGTACTTTTATTAAATTGTTTCTCATCTTCATGTTCGCATTGAAATATAATTTTTCAAAAGAGCCCGTTTAATTTTTTCCGTTGTGAAATCCTTATTATTTTAAAAGTTATTCTTAAATAACAACAAAGATTTATATTATTAAAAAACATAAATAATAACACAATAATCAAAACTTAATACAAAGATCAAACTTACAGAATTACCCTCACATGCATAGCATATAGTCTCAACTAGTTCTTAATAATAAATAAATAAATTCACCAAGCATCATGCACTAACTTAGGTTACAAAATTATATACGCATTTGGAGGAAATTGATAATCATGTGCAATTCTAGTGTGTCGTTCTATGGTGTCGGAGTCTAATTCACAACATCAATGACAGTTCACAGGTATGTCATTTTATATCATAATTTTATTGTCCAAGGCTTCTCTCTCATAATTCACTACATCAATGTTTAAACCCTTTAAGATTTAGAAGTATATCAAACTCGCAGCACTAATGCCATAAATTCTTCTCCCAGCAGAGTAAAACAGTCTTGTAAAATTTCTCCTTTCACGTGTGATGTGAAAGTATAGCTAGAAGGCACCTTAATAAGAAAAAAAAAGGACATCTCCCCATTTATTTTGCTAGTTCAAATCACAACTTAAGTTTTTACTATAGTATTTTCTTTCATAAAAATTTAAAAAAAAAAAATTTTTTACTACAGTGTTTTTTTTACATGAATTCACTTTTAAATTCAAGTTCTCAACTCGAATAAAGCCGCATCATTATTTAGAAATACGCTCAATACGTACCTTGTGTACCATGTTACCTGTTGGATTATGAAACCCACTATGATTAAAAGTTGGGATCCATGGATATATATATATATATATATATATATATATATATATATATATATTCCCAACGGAATGACCCCATGAAGGTTTGTTGTTTATGGGACACATTCTGCAAACTCAAGCCACGTCTCATGCAATGTTGGATTTTGAAAATGGTGGGTTTAATTTTGTAACAAAAAAATGGGCCACTGAACTTTAAAAGTCATCTTGAGGAGAAAAGAGATTTCCTGAAGTTGACAGGATAACATTTCCTTGTACCAGAAGATATTTTCTGATTAAGTTGGTGGAAAAAAATATCCTTGTCCATTAATCTCTTAAAAGCTTATCTATCTTTTCTTTATGAAAGTACTTTCTAATTATATTTAAAAAAAAAAAAAAAAAAAAAAAAAAGAGAGAAAAAACATTTGTGCAACCTTTTTCTTCTTTTACATTTTTTCATTTTGGTTGGAAAAGCTTTTTTAACTTTGAAATGCTTCAGATTAAAAAAAAAAAACAAAACAAAAATCTGCTGCTAGAAATCAATCACGCGTAGTCATGCTTTTAAGCTTTCAACTGATAAGTATATCCCTTTTTTGGCTGCTGCAAAGCTTCTAATTGAAGTTAATGGCCATTTTCACAAAATTTCGATTGTATTTTGTGTAAATACGCGACTTTATTTTGTACAAGGCCGGATTGAATTTGTAACATCCTTTCAAAATCTCACTTTACCTAAAGTCCCAGTGCCACTAGACTAAACGGTATTAGGCAAATACAATACTATATTACTGGCAATAAACTACATAATTTCACGATTAGGAAAAAACCACTATATATTTCACAACGAGAGTTAACCTTCTTCCTTGCCCATAATCCCCCTTCACCATGGCAGAATGAGCATCTTGAACCAATGTCATGCACTTTGATGCAATTGATTGAATTTTTTTCCTGACGAATAAAAAAAGATAGTGTCATCTTGTTTCCCGTCCCTTTCGTATGTAGTAAAAATATATAGGTCTACCAACAGAACGAAAAGGACATGAATTAAGGCCCCGTTCATTTCGCTAATTCGAGTTTAGAATTCGAGTTTTGCTACAGTAAAAAGCTCTCACAAACAATCACATCTAACTTTTTTGCTACAGTAAAAAGCTCTCACATAAAATCACATCTCAACTCGAATTAAAAACTCGAATCAGCGAACTAAACGGGCTCTAATTCTACTTAAAACGTGACTCAATTACACCACTACAAAATCAACACCCAAGTGATTTTAACAACTTAACTGATGGACATTTTCAATAACATAAGAATATAGTGAGGGCCAAAAAATTATAAAATAAAATAAAAAATAAAAAAACATACCAAGAATATTGAATTGCTTTATTCAGTTCTGAAAATGAAGTATGCTTTTGAAATTGAACGACAACATTACCCATTGGGGAGTCATTGTTTTCAAAGGGGCCATAACAGCTATTATTATTGCTCATATAATTTCTGCTGTACAAGGATCCTGCCTCAATGTTATGGCCACCCTGCAAACTGCAAACCCCAGTTAAGAGACATGTTACATGCAACAATCATCCAAAGGAGCTCAACATGCACATGGAGAAGATCATGCACGGAATATACATGAGAATTTGATACTCAAAAAAGACCAAAGTTAGGCAAGTGCCTTGTGCACTACTGCTGATTCACATTCGTGAGGGGTTTTTTGCTCCTCTTTTTTTTTTTTCAATAATAGAATTATTGGTGTCGTCTTACCCCATATCTCGATTGTGTCAAATAAATCTCAGAGCCCACAAGTTATCGATTGTGTGTCAAATAAATCTCAGAGCCCACAAGTGGAACGGAAAAGGATCTAACCAAATTCTATTAGAAGGATGTGTCTTGACAACCTATTGACCGAATTAAGACCTTCTGTACTGAGTCTACCACGAATAGAACCTGGGGATATCTTGGGTGGAGAAGAAGAAAAAAAAAACTTTTACTGCCGCACCACCATTCGAATAGAACCTGGGGATATCTTGGGCGGAGAAGAAGAAAAAAAAAACTTTTACTGCCGCACCACCATTCGAATAGAACCTGGGGATATCTTGGGCGGAGAAGAAAAAAAAACTTTTACTGCCGCACCACCCCATTGGTGGTCACTCGTAGGCATTTTGTTAAACCTTCTCTGGATTAATTGTCCATAATTCGTCATATAGTCTGGAACTTGTGTCCTGGCTTTTGTGACCGGCACATTATTCTTTACCCTAGTTAAGATGCCTTCTATGCATCAAAAGTGCACAAATGAGATGCCCATAAGGAGGACAAAGGCTTTTGATACTTGAAACATCATTCTTTTCCACCTTGGTTACTGGAAGTTCAACCAGGAAACTGCATGAGTAATATTCCATCTTTCGTCAATGTGTCCATCTGATAATCACCATATCGAAAGGTCCTATGAAATGGTGATGAATATTATGTTTAACAAAGTCGACGTAGTTTGTTTTGTCATCACCAATAATCTCCACAAGAGCACTGACCACCATTGAAATGGTGAAACCGGCTATTGTCCCTAACAATTATCTCTCTACCTACAATTTTTGAGATAAATTTTATTGCCGTGTGACAATCCACACAGACTCGGATGTTCTTCGTTATCCGAATTGGTGTACCAGCAGGAGTGCTGAGAATGCCAAACGCAATGGCGAGTCGTTCACTGTGGCCAGACAACAATGCCTTCTTCTGCTCCTCGTCCACATCATGGAGAACCTCATTTGTGTCGGGCACATATCCTTCCCGTTCCATCTTTTCCAAGAGAACTTTCAGAGTCTCATTTATTCTGTCATAGAATGGGTGTGATTCATCACCCGCCACAAAGGCGTGCACCTTGTTTCCAACTTCAATCCAGCTGCAGGCTGGCTTCTTTCTCATTCCCCTTTTCTTCATAGAGACTCTCAATCTTGCTACATCTTTCCATCTCCTAGCGGCAGCATAAATGTTCGACAAAATCACATATGCACCCATGTTCCCAGGATCAACCGTGAATATTTTCTCAGCAACCTTTGCGGCCAATTCAACGTTCTTATGAACTCTACAACCAGCTAAGATTGTTAACCATACACTTCCTGTTGGTTCTATACTCATGTTGGAGATAAGATTATAAGCTTCCTCCAACCTTCCAGCTCGACCGAGAAGGTCTGCAACAGCAGCATAGTGCTCCAATCCAGGAGCAATACCGAATCTTAGGGTCATGGAATTTAAATATTCCCATGCTTTATCAATCAACCCCGCATGACTGCAGGCAGTCAATACAGCTATGAACGTCACATAACAAGGTTTTGTTCCCTCCACTTCCATCCGCTCGAATAAGGAAATGGCATCATAGGCATAACCATTGAAAGCACATCCCATGATGATTGCTGTCCAGGACACTATGTCATGCGTCTCTATTCTATCGAAAATCCACCTAGCTATCCTAATGTTCCCACATTTGGAGTACATGTCCACTAGCGAGCTTGCGATGTACACATTATCATCAAACCTTGACCTGATTATGTATCCATGGAGTTGCTTGCCCAAATGGAGAGTTGTCAAATGGGCACAAGCTGGCATGATGCTAGAAAAGGTAACCTGCATCGGCTTAATTTTAGCCACCAACATCTGCCGGAAGAATCTTAGACCTTCATCAAACATTCCGTTCTGCACACATCCCGCAATGATAGAGTTCCACGCAACGGCATCATGACAGGATAAAAAATCAAATACTCGAAGCGAATCTTCCGTTGTAGTACACTTTGCGTACATGTCAATTAAGCTACTTCCAATGAACACATCCACATGAAACCCATTTCTTATGGCATACCCGTGAATCTCCTTACCCTTGATTATGTCCACATACTGCGCAAATATAGGAAGAACACTGGACAAAGTGTAAGCATCAGGCTTCATGTTGTCATTCCCCATCTCTCTAAGCATAGACAAAGCCTCTTCATACATCCCGTTCTGTGCATTCCCCGCAATCACAGTATTCCATGAAACAATATCCTTATAAGGCATCATATCAAAGACTTTTCTCACACTATTAATCTGCACAACTCTTTTAACTTCCATTTTGTGCATTTCCTTTCCTTGAGGCGTTTCATCAAACAACTGGTGCTCATTATCCAAGCTCTGAAACTTTGAATACATGCTCATCAACGCATTGCAGGTATACAAATCCGAGTCCATTCCGTACCTAATTATTGACCCATGTACGGATTCTCCCAACCTCAAGTCCTTGATCATGGCACAAGATTTTACCACCGATGGAAAGATATTATGATCTGGGTATATTTGAAAAGCTCTCATTCGGACGAAAGAAGTGACGGATTGGAGGAAAAGGCCATGGGAAGTGTAGGATCTGATGATGGATTTCCAAGCAAGAGGTGGGGGAGAGTGGAGGGTTTGGAAGAGAAGAAGTGAGTAGCGGAAGAGGTTGGTGAAGTTTGAGTAGAGAGAGAGAAGAGAGGAGATTTGGGAGGGAGATGGGTTTGTTGTGGTTTTGAGAATCTGGGCGTGGAGTTGTTTGGCTTGGAGATTTGATTTGATGGCGATTGGGTTCTTCAGAAGTTTGTTGAGCAGTTCTTGGGTTGAAGAAGACATGTGTTGAAGAAGAAGCTGTTGACGAGGGAAAAGAGATTTTGAAGCATGGACTATTTATAGTGCTTGTGTTGGATGGGAGTTTGGGAAGGAATGCCAACATGAAAAGTTATGGGATCGGAGAGGAAATAAATATGGAGCTCTATTTTCAAAAAAAAAAAAAAAAAAAAAACTATCAATAATTTTTTATTTTTAACTGAAAAATTATCTATTTTGTATATTTTTCTAATTTGGTGTGATTTTGACATTATCATTAAAAACTAACACTACAGTAGATTAAGCCTACCAAAGAAACTCCTAATAAATAAAAATTAAGAAAAATTCTTAATAATATATGTTCTGCATAATTGAAAATATGTAATAGACAAAGAAGGTTAATGGATTTAGATTGGCAAAGCAAGTATCATGTTATCGAGTATCCCAACTCTTCCCCTCTCCTACTTCTCTTTTGTGTGTGTTCTGTTGATCTGCCTTTTTTAACATTTATCTTCTTTTGATGAAACAAATTCCTGATATGTAGAATGATACAGAAAAAAATGACTCTCAATGTGAAGACATTCGGGTTAAAACAACTGATAATGGATAGAGGACGGATCGTTCATCCTACAGGAGAACAAAATCTTAACTTTGAATTGGATGATGATAAGTTGAGTAAACATGACTTGAGAAAGAAACCAAAGAAAATGAAATAAAATAAAATAGAACTAAGAGTTGATGTATTGAAAACTAAAAACTAATGATCTAAATCCATGTTTGAGACATTAATCTTGGCTTTTCAAATCTAACTGTCACACACAACCACTGCCTAAATCGAAAGAGATACACAAGATATCCTGATGGAAACTGTAAAGACTGAAGAAGGCCAGAGAATGAAATGTTTAGCTTGATGTCTCAAGACTCTCAACCGCAATTCTCAATCGTCCTCTCGTTCAGGGGGAAGTCCACATGGCAAAAGCATTTTCTGCACAACACAAAGAGAACAAAATAATTATACATTCCCATGAAGTATATCTCTATACAAAAGTCACTAAACAGTCATGAAATCAGGTATCTTTGAAGTATAAGACTCCAACAAAATTCTCCATCAGCCATAAATAACTGTAGTAGAGACAAGCAAGAGGTTCATTCATTAGAAAAGCAAAAATTGTGATAATTCTCTTAACCAATCATCAGCACAATCCAAGAGGAAGTTTTGTTAAGATCTTTATTCAGTGTAGTTGAACTAAGCATCATCTAATGTGCTATGTGAAATTCTTCAGATCTTAGCCATAACTCTCCTGCTTATGTTCATTTTCAGAAAATAGACATTTTTTTTTAATGAATAAGCATTTGGTTACGTTTAAATACATTATGATCTAATCTTATAAGCTCGCTGAGGAGAATTGTTAGCTCAAAAAAAAATAAAAAATAAAAAAAAGAAAGAAGAAAGAGTTAAAGGGAAAAGAAAAAAGCAATTTTCACAAAAGGGATACGGCGCCAATGGAGATGTAATTTTGCTATAGAACTCACAACGGCATAAAATGCAAAGCTAAGAACTTTTTTAAGTTATAGTTCAAATGTTTGTAACAAGTTGATATGCAGTGCTTCTCAACTAAATTCATCTGAAACATGGGAGAAGCATAACAACGCAGGCATAATATAAACAAGGAGATGAGAAGCCTTGTTTAAACAGATATCTACTGCCCATAAAATGTAACCAATTTTGCAAAGGAATAATAACAAAAATCTCCGATTCGTTTTATCAAAATACTACGTCTCACGGCCTTATAGTAATCATCCACCTATCCCCTCAGTTCTACAAATGTGTCAAAGGGATGTCAATTAGGCCGGACCACCCATCGAGCACGATGGCACGACACGAAAAATTTTGGGTCAGGCACGACACGGCACGAGATTTTTATGGGCCATGCTAAGCAAGACACAAGGTGGTGGGCCATGCCGGGCTCATAGTTTTAAGCACGTGTGTCTAGCACAACATAGCACGAGCACAACACGAGCACGGCCCGGCCCATCGAGCATGACAGGCCAACACGACGAATATTATTATTATTTTTAAATAATTTTACGTTATTGTTACAATTTACATATTTTTAAATAATTAAAAAAATTATATATTTGCATAAACAAATTAAAATTAATTCATTTGACCTTAAAAAAATCAAATAATTTGCATTAATTTTCATCATTTTAACAATGGCAACAATCAAAAAAATTATTATAAATCATTAATTATATCATATCTTGATAAAATGCACCCTTGATATATTAATAAATTAATATAGCATTCCTTGATAAATTATAGCCGTTGGTAATGAGTATGTTTATTGCAAATTACAATGTTTATTGCAAATTACAATGGTTATGCTTATTGCTTTTGCTTTTTTTTTCTTAGTAATAGCATATAAAATTATATTTTTATTTGAAACTATTAAAAAAATAATTTTAGGTGACTCAATGGTTCAATGGGCCGGCCTAAAGATCTATTGTACCAAGCACGATAAAGGCACAAGCACGGCACGGGCACAAGCACATGTGGGCTTAAGCCTATGGGCCGAGCCGGGCCTATGATTTTGAATCTTGGGCTGGCACAAGCACGGCACGAAGTTTCAATGGCCAGGCCAAGCATGACATGAAGCACGCATGGACCTAGGAGATCATGGGCCGGGCCCGGCACGACACGGCATGATTGACATCTCTAGTCAACCTCGGGGATAGGTGCAACATTCATGATAACATAGGTAACATGTTTTTGTTATTTGTATGAATTTTCATGCCCTACCACATAATTCTCTATACCGTATGGTGATAATAGTAAAGCATGAATATTGCATATTCAATTCAGATATATACCACCTATAGAATGGAATTAAATCTGTAACTATAGCCAAAAACCAGAGAAAACACAGCCAAAGAGAAACCACAAAGCAAGAGAAAGAGAGAGAACCTGCATAAAGTTGTAGCGTTCCCTTCCAATTGATTCATTTTCAGCAATAGCAAAGTATGCCAAAAGTGGGTAATGCCCAATATAGGAGGCGTAGCTATCACGCTGAATGTTCACTGCCCATTCACTACAAAATCCAAAAAATTAAAAATCATTTATACAGATTTTCATTCAAGAATCTGAGAATAACAAAATAACACAGGAAAATAAACAAAAGAAAAGAGGTGAAAAGGGAAAGAAAAAAGCTCACAATCTGTTCAAATCGGCATGCCCAGTTCCTACATATTTGGCTTGTAGGTGCTCAAGCTGGGAATTGATGTTAAACCTGTCACTGGCCTGCACCAAACCAACAAAAAAAAATAAAAATAAAAATTGAGCGGGTAAACAAGCAAAATTGAGATCGATCGGAATGAATTGTGAGTGGGATTTCCTTTGTTTTATTTCATTTTCCTAGGAAACAAACGGATTGCAGGGGTGTTCGAGAAATTCGTGGAATTACGAGGAAGAAAATTGAATTGTAGTCTAGTCTAGGGTTTTAATTTGGCTTTACTCTTCAAAAGTGTAGGGTTACATATATGACAAAGATACTGAAAATGAACGAAAGAAAGATTGGAGTCGCGGAAGGGAAGAATTACCTGCATGTTTGTCTGCTGAGAATACGAAGCGAATCAGAGAGAGAGAGAGAGAGAGAGAGAGAGAGAGAGAGGCAAGCTTAAAATACAACTCTTTTCAAGTGCGACAGATATAGGCTGGACCAAAATTGAGGATTTTTTTTTTTTTTTGAATAAAGGATTTTTTTTCTTTTGGATTATTATTCTGATGGCCCTTAATTTTAGGGTTTGTCAGTTTACCTTTTAAATTTTAAATATTTTATTTTATCTTTTAAATTTTAAATTATTTTTATTTAATCTCTTTTATAACAATTTTTGTTAAAAACATATAAAAAAGAGAATAACATAATTATTTAAATTTCTGTTAAAAAGAAATAGATAAAAACTACATGATTACACTTAACTTCATCTTTTTCTGTATAATTTTAACAGTAATTACAACAAAAATAGTTAAGTGAGAATAATTTAAAGTTCAGGAGATAAGGTGAGAGTATTTAAAATTTAAGAGGATAAACTAAGAATGACTCTAAAATTTATAGGCACCAAATGTTTTCTTTTTTATTTGTTGTTACTATTGTTAGTTTTAATTTTTTTTGGGTAAATATTGTTAAATTTAATTTTGACCCTGACTTATGCTACTTATCTTATTTCGTCCTCTTTTAAGAGAGGACTGCAATTTTTCAATTTTAGGGGGGCAAAAATTAAAAAAATTGACCTAAGTTTGTAGAAAAATATATAAAATGTGTCCTTTAAATTTAGTGTCACGTCAATTTTTCTATGCATTTATGTGACGAAGGGGAAAAGTTGCTATGGTTTTGAAGTCAATAGACCTAAATTTGGAGAGAATTTATACAACATCCTAAAAATAGCAATAAGCAGTGTCATTTAAATCAAGCATTTTTCGAACATAGAATATACATTCTATTGGAATTTCCAATTCGCACTTTATAAATGAAAAACTCAAAGTGCATGGTATATTTCTTAAATAAACTTAAACGACAGAGTATGAATATATAAATTTCCATTAACTATAACTACAAGTTTCTATTATAATCTCGCCAGGATATATTTATATGTTTTCGAAATCATACTAACATTAGATGCACTATCTTGGTTCCCATGCATTAAATTTAATTCATCCACATTTAACTAATAATAAAAAAAAAAGTTACTATCTTTAATTTGTAGGTAACATTCACTACGCAACTCATATTTTAAATTGAGACTGCTAAGTTTCAATATAAGTTTCTGATGCAGCCAAAAAAGAACCATTGACAGTTGTATTATAACAATCAAATTTAAAATAGGGTAAGATTCTTTAATTTAAATTCTACATATAAGAACCTTTAATTTGAATTCTAATTTTAGATAGGGTTAGATTCTTTTAATTTCAATTTCAAAATTCTCTATTTAAAGAGGACTAGTTACACTTTTATTTTTTTGTTGATGGATTAATATAATTTTAATTAACGTTTGAAAGGCGTATTCGTGTCATGATTCGAATCATGGTTCATGATTCGCTACAGTATTTTATCTCACAAAAAATACACATAAAACGAGAATAGTTTTGAATCATGATTTTAAATCCATGAACCAAACGTCCCTTTAAGAGATTGTTATCTCCCTTTGCTTGTTTTTCGGTGTTCTTTAAATCAACAAAACAGTCACACTCGTTTTCCAGTATTCTTCCCGAATCAACGAATTACGAGCTGTCTTACACTTTCGCTACATCAGTATCACAAGTTGATTTTTGATATTAGCTATATTCACCTTGGTGATCGAAACTATTTATTTATTTTGGTATCATACAAAGTAATATCATTCATAAGGAAACTTAATGGATTGCATCAAATATTTCATACAAAAAGTGTTATTGTTGCAAAATCAATATATTTCTAATGTCAAATCAGGATCAACTAGTATAGAAATAAAGTATTTGATCAAACTCTTCTTTAATATAAAGATAAGAACCATGAAAATCATCGAATCCCGGAAAAAGTAGAATCCTTCACTAAGTAAATCATTCACATGATTAGATTGAATCGAAATCAAGATCTTATTAAGCCGAACAAACATCCTTACCACCCTATCAAATGACTAGAATTCCATGTAACGTTACCACCTTACTCACTGACCAGTGGTCCACGTAGGATTACCTGTGTACTTGATTTTGGCACAGGGGAATGAAACAAGAATGCCTTTTTTACAGCACAAGGGAAAGTAGTTCATATAACTGCTAAACCAGGAGGAGATGAAACTCTCAAAAGCATACAAACATTCTTCATCCTCCTACGAAGACTAAATTCCCAGAGAATGGGGCAAATTCATAACAATCACAAACCTTTCTTTTACCATTACTACATTTAACAACAAAGTTAGATACATGAACAATTTGCGGCTATTGTACACTGATATCTTGCACCTTGGCGAAGTGGGAAAATAAAAAAAAATAAAAAAAAAAACCAAAAAGAATACACAACAATTTCAAAGAATATATACTCGAAAGAAAATATTTGGCAGAAACCAAGATCGTATCTGACCCAAGTGCGAATAGTATCCCAATCCGCTCCTCCCTTCTCGGGGCCCTTTGCCCCCATAAAAGTTTTCCAATCTAGCATTAAAGTTAATCATCGAATAATCTTTGTTTCGATGCTACGCCGCAATCTGATGTTACGAGGAAAAATGGAAAATTAGTGCAGTTCATGCTGATTCACTCTTCTCAGGGACTTCTAGTGGGGGAGGGAGCAAATTCAAAAAGCTCCCATGAACAGGTTGATTGGTAGCTGTTGCAGACTCATCATCTGCAAAGTATACATGAATCAAGTTAATTAGAAAAAGAGAACATACTCTAACAATAAGAGTAAGTTGTTAAATGCCATATGATACGAAACAAGGAGAAATATCATGAAAAGCATGAACCAGTAAAATACGGAAAGAATAATATAAAACGCACACAAAATGGGAAAAGGCTGCAAGTAATTGTTACCAAAAAGAGTTTTGATGGAAGGCCTTTTATTTTTGGTGCTCTTCTTCTTCAACTCAGCTGCATCGGGTAGAAGCCATAAATGAAAAACATGGAAGATCATTGTCAAGAGTGCAAATTAAACAACAGAGACAGACTTTAAAATAAAATTTAAGATAAAAAGCGAGAACCTATTGTGACATACATAATAAAGCCAGGTATGAAAACAATCCTAGAAGTAAAAGAAACCTTGCTTTTATTGATGGCTTTAGATTTTAAAATTTCAGGTTTTTAGGATGGTGCTGTAGTTCAATGAGCAGTGATCTAGTAGAAATCACAGCAAGATTTTACAACTTACAAGCAGAACTAAAACCAGATTTAGATTTGTATAATATGCTTATTGAGAACCAAACTACATACAAATGTAGACATGAAGAGCAAAGGAATTACCAATCCCAGGTAATTGATGATCATTTACAATTTCGAAGTTTTTATAAGTGTATCCCACAAAGTTGATATCCTTTGATGACAGCATCTGCAGCAAGTTCATAACAGCAACAACAGACGAGCAATTAGTCAACGAGAAAACATTTATATATCATAATCTAAAGACCATATGAAGCAAATAACTTCAACTAAGTTTATGAGACATCCACTTCGAAAGTCAAAGCAACAGTTTGGAAAATGTAGTAATGATTGGGCAAAAAGAAAGGAAATCGAGAAGGTAAGAGTTTAATGAAATTTGCCCATTTTATGAGAAATGAAGTTGTTTTACGAAGTAAACAAAAAAAATATATACTAAAACTTCATCAACCAACTACTTTCATATTTAGGCAATTGTGCAAGCAAGCACATAGCAACTAGTATATTAAGTAAAAATCAAAATAAAAGAAGATGAACAGAAGTTTTCCCAATGCTCAAAATAAATTTTGTTGATTGTTAGGATTTTGGTTAAGTCCCACATTGTTAAAGTATGAGATTAGCATATGGGTTTATAACCACTTGGGCACCCTCTCCCTACAAGCTAGCTTTTGGGGATGAGTTCTACCCAAGGGTTATAACATTGATCAAGCAACGTGATAAGCCTCCCCTACGATTCACCTATGTGCGGAAGAGACTACGTGAGAAATATCATGCAGGAACAGGGAAGGAGGAGGAAGCTACAGCACAGGGGAACAATTCTCAGAACGTTTAGAAAAGGGGGCTGAGTGG